TTTTTAAAATTTGAACTCAAATAAACTTTCCCTCCAAATTTGGTACAAATCGGAAGAGGTCCATTTCATGTACCTCGGACACTTGGCGCGGAATGACCCAAATATAAAAATGATGAAATGCAAAATAAAACATAAATGAGATCCAGAAACAGATCCAGTTTCATGAATTGACCACTTTTACGGATGTCCCGGATCTTCCAGAGGACTTCGCTGGTTACTCAAATTTTGAGTAGCGCCACTGAACTTTGAATTATGGAATTCAGTGAGAGAAAAATAAATAGCAATACAAAGTTACCCAAATTTTGAGCGCAACCGATAGCTAAAAACTAACACAAATGTAATCCAAACGTTAAATGAGTTACAATGAATTGCATGTAAAGCGTTGTGTATATTTACTGTGTTTAGAGTAGAGCTTCCATTTCCCGGTGGTTTCCACCATCCCGGGATTCGGGAAATATTTATTTGATATCCCGGGAAATCCCGGGATCCCGGGCAGTAAACAAAGAATGTTTTAATATTCGTATGGTTCATCTCCTTCGAAGAAAGATTTAAAAATGGAGATTCCTTCAATACAAGGGACACCAGATTTAAATACCTATCTTCATTTTGAAGGCATTTAAAATTCTGTGAAGGTATTTTTTCATGCAGACATTTTGAAGACATCTGATGATTTGTGGAGTTGTTTCAAGACATGCGGAAGCTGAAGCAGGCTTCCGATGGATTTTTTAAATTTTAAGCTGGCATATGAAGATTTTTGTTAAATAAATGAAGCTTTTGACTTCATATTTTAAGCTTCTTTCTGAATATGTTGAATATGAATAATGTAATGAAATATTCGATTAGCTGGAGATCTTTTGAATACTTCCTGATCAACGTACAGTGTTGGGAGAATGGAGTTATGGTCTTCGATCAGCTGGAGATCTTTAAGTACTTCCTAACCGATCTGCCATCTTGAAAGAGCCAATTGAATGTTTGACTAGTTTAAGATCTTCACATTTCCTGATCAACCTAAACTCTCTAATATCTGACCAACCAGCAATCTTGAGAGACTATTTAGAAACGTTATTTGAATTTTATGAACAGTTGAATATCTTAAGAATAATAATTGATCAATCTGAACTCTTGAAAAATATCCAGAGGTCTTTAAATCTCGGACCAACTGCATTTCCTTTAAATATTCTCTAATCAAATTTCCAATGATGTCTAAAAGATGTCGTTTGAATTTTTGATCAGTTGCAGATCTTACTTGATTAAGATTACTTACAGACATTACTTGATTAAGTTGAAAAGTCTTGAATAATATCGAGATATATCATCGCAAATCCGTGAATATCAGTTATACGAAGATTCCTGTACTTTCAAGAAGTTTCTTAAACTTAAACTCAGTTCCATGAACTCAAAGCCTATTTAAAGTTCTCTGCATATGTAGAATATTCGACGAAATCCTAGGATATTCCGTAAACTTCTTCGAAGTTTCCAGTACTTCAAAGATTTTTCCATAGCTTACATCTTTTAAGTTTTCTATATGTACAACTTAATTTCTGCCCAGCTTGCTGAACTTTCAAATAATTCATACGATGTTCCGTAATCATCGTCCACGAAGTTGTTTAACATTCTACGAAGTATCCTGAAGATCTATGATGGTCCCTGAAGTTTTTAAATTATAATTGTGATGTAAACATTCATTCACGTAAACTTGTATTTTATTTCACGCAAACGAGCAACTTGTAAGCAATGTTGATTACAAATGTGAGCTTTTGTATACAATATTTGCTACACTGCATGAAATGTGTCAGAACTATACATGACATATAATGTAAACTTATATGATATGTGACGCTCCATTTATGTGCATCATATTGAATAGAAATTTACACTACTTTTTCGAACTGTGTAGATTACACACTAACGGGTAAAGGTAATGCATACCTTTGTGTGTAACAAATGACAGGATAGAAAACGGTGACAGAAGGAGTAAAGGCCGGCGCACAATAGATACGTTTTCGGGTTTTTTGACAGATAATCCATGGGCTAACTGTCAAAAAACCTGAAAACGTATCTATTGTGCGCCGGCCTTAAGCATTTTACGAGATTCAGCTCGCTAATCTAAGGAAGGACTCTAAAAAATGCAAATATTGAGTTTTTTTTTCAACAGTTAAGACTAGTACTACGTACTTCCAGCCATCTTAACAATGCATTTCAATGGTTTTTCGATCAACTATGAATGATGGATATCTCACAACGCTTAACCTGATTTTCGTCTATGTACCATCTAGATACGCGATTATAAAATTTAATAAAAATGTTCACGGTTTGTTTCACTGCTAGATCGTATTTTTCACGAGTGCTTCTTGTACAACGATCATAAACCAAAAGTGATGTCTGTGTGCCATACTTTCGATAAATCAGAATGAATGACAAACGAAGGGAAGAGATATATTTCATAAGATGTGAAAGTTCTGGATTCTACTACAGATATTCCAAGATAGATTTAATGAGGTAAATGAGTGATAAAAAAATTCCCGGGATCGCATGAATGCCAGGATTTGGTAATCCCCGAAAATGTCACAATCCCGGGACATGATGATGATGGTCCCACCTTTTACCCCTACAAAGGTTTGAGCTGGACGATTTATCTTTAAGATAATTAAATATGACATTTAACCAGGTTGGCAAACAAAATCGAACTGGTTTCAGTTACAGATATAATTTCCCTCTAGAGTTTACAGTTGCTTCACAGCGATATAAATGTGGAAAAGCTCAGGCGTCCACCTCTTAGTTCGCATTTTTGTCCACCTAAAATATTCATAAGTATTACAGGGGGAGAGGTAGCTCATCGATTCTTCCGGTTCGCCTCCTAGCATCGTGCTATAAGGTACCAAGCGATAACCAGGGTAGTTGATCGATAGCTCGATGACGTCATTTCGTTGGCGTCTGCAATGGGAAATTCTCATAGCAGGCGTTGACGATGGGACGTTGTCGAGCTGTTGAATAGCAACTATCGTGGTAACTCACCGATTACCTGTCGATCTGCCAAATTTGGAAAGACGTCTGCATTGAATTGTCTCATATAATAATATTCCGCCCACTATATCACAAGAAATTGCGAGTAACTGAGTGGAATGGAGATAAGTTAAGCATTGGGTACAGGACCAAGTCTCCCCTGGGTGGTGCCAAAAGATGAGCGCAATAGAATCATCAAGTTGCCATAAGGCACGGAATGAGACTATTGCATGGCTGGGTAGTCAAAGTCTTCCATTCGTTAGTCATTTCAGGTGGATTAGAACAGGTTTAGGTTTAGGGTGGGCGTTGGCCAGATTTGGATTTTTCAGATGTAATCCTGGATAGGACCCTGTCATTGAACGTCGCGTGAAAGTGGAACTTAATGAAGGCCTAAGTACTTTTTCGTAGTTTTTAGTTTTCGGATTTGAAAGATCGTCGGTTACAGTGGCCTGCTTACTGAGCAGAAAAACGCGGTCCCAGGTCCTTGCATATCAAAGAGATTTATGGTAAAATCGCTTGTGTATCGTGTATTTTGCGAAACTCGTTGTTGTCGTTGGTTTCGGGTTTGAATGGATACACAAATTTGAGCAACGGTATTATGTGATATGAGGGGCTCGGTGGCCTTAGAGCAACCGTTTTTGCTTACTGAGCAGAACATCATGAGTCTAATCTCAGGCCCATCCACATTCAAGATTCGTCAATCGTTTTATTTGTTAATATGACTACATGGTAATAACAGCAACTCGGTGATTAAAAAGGTGCTCGTCTGCCTAGTGGCAAACGTTTTTGCTTACTGAGCAGAAGACCGTGGGTTTAGTCCCAAGCTCCTTCGCGTTATATGATCGTTAGGACATCAATTCAGCTTATCGTTTACCAAAACGAACCCTGCTGCAAACCCAACCCTCTTATCCAACATCCCAGTGATTCCTCGTGGAAGTGCAGAGGTGTTCTCGGCTTCCATCAAAGCGAGTGTCATGTCAACACAATCCTTCCCATTCCTTTCTTGACCTGTGTTCGGACGCGGCCGGCGCTGGTATTGCCTAATTTAAGATCACCAGTTTTTACACATTGAGGATGATTGCTAGTCCCAAGCATCATCTATTGGTTCTCTGTGTAATTACAGCTGATCTGGCAGTAACAGAGTAGCAACCGTACTACTAACTCAAGGTATCTTTCAAATAAGCTTCAAAATTGTATTGTTTTTTTTTATCAAATGTTAAATTCAGTCCTCTATATCCGTAATACGCGCGCGAGGCTCAAACCTTTGTAGACTACTTTTTTTTAATTAATCTACTATTAAATCAAATATTAAAAATCCATCATCACCCTCGTGGCGAACAGAAATAGTTTTTGCAGTGCTACAATAATTATTAAAAAGTCGTTATGACAGCTATCCATATAAAATAATCCGTTAGAGATAACTTCGTCAAGATACATAATTTGTCAATTCATAAAAAAAATCACTGGATAACTGTTCAAAAGACAGTTTTAACGTGTGAAATGCAGTGTTTTTTTTAAATTCTGTAAGTGTTGCTAAACGTTTGATGTGTCTAGGCATCGAATTGAAAACATTTATTCCTTTATAATATTATGAATTTTGTGAAGCACAAGTCAAGAAATGTGGTGTTCTTATTTCAACCGCGTTTCTAGTATTATATGTATGAAATTCACTTCCGCTTTCAATTCAATCACACAAATATCGAGGCAGCAAACCGTTAACTACTTTAAAAATGAACACCATAGTCAAATATACAATTCTTTGCTTCACCGACAACCATTGTATAAGGCGTCTAACATCAAAGTTGAGGAAGTGAATCTATTACATCTCAAAATTAAACGCATTATTTTATTCTGCAAGCGCTGTAATCTCGATATTTGTGTTGCATTGGCCAGAAATAAAAAGGAAGGGCAAAAGTTAAGATGAGGAGATGGAAGCTCTAGTTTAGAGTATGGTCGAGCAAGCTTACATTTCCAAGAACAATAAGAAATAGTCATGGTGGACACTACTTTAAGCTATATTTTAACAACTTTTCCTTAACAACATTTTCAATATTCAACAGATACTTCAATCGAATCAAATTTTCCTTGGCTTCTTCCAAATTTTTCTCCAGAAAACTTTCGTTCAATTTCTTGTATAGCTCATCGATATCAACCTTCAGGGTTTGGGCGATTTCGTCTAAATCTTCATAATTTGAAGCCTCTACCACCGCCTCGTTCCTATCCATCATGTCCATGAGAAACTCAGAATCAACAGAAGTGTTTTCTTCTGCTATTTGAATTCCATTTTGCTTGAGTATATATCTGCCTCGTTGCAAAGGCGTGTTTAGTGTTTTGTAGGCCTTGTTTACTAGGGAGCTCCACTCAAGAGAGTTATTTTTCTCCACGCTTGACATTTGGCTGAACTTGTCGGGATGAAGCACGCTTTGTAACCGTCGAAAGTTCGATGTCAACTTTGTCAAGTCCAGGTTGAATTCACTGGATACATCTAGTAGTTTGAAGTAATCCTAGAAACAAATTATGGTACTGAACTGAAGAAAGCTGTGCAATAGAAAATGTCTTACCACATCCTCAATCTGTTGGAGCGATCCACAAGAAGCACAGAAAAAATTATTTTCCTTCACCAATGGTTTTGCGCAGCTCCAGCAAACTTTTACACTTGAACAAAATGTTTTGCTATTGGATGCGTTATTTCGAGAATGCATCACGAAAGACAAATGGCGCATTATTGCTGAACGAATCATATCAATTTCGATAGAAACACACTTTCTCTGGTGGATAACCGATAAGATGCAACGAAATGACTACAAATTGCACAACAGCACCAATGAAATAATAAAAACAGCTGATTTTCTTATCACTCAAAACACGAAGCTTTACCCAGCTTCACCCAGTAACCACAGGCTATTCATTTTAGGAGAAACATGTCAGAAGGGTATACACGGAAAGACGAAACAACTCAAAATCGAGATAAAAAGTACTTAAAAATAAGTAGTCCGCCAACACTACTGTTTTGAGTGAAATTTTGTTCTCATTTATGAGTACTTTAAACTCAATCTCGTAGCACAGACAAACAGACATAACACTCGCAAGTTGTTCATCGAACAAGCATTTAACGGTCAATTTAAAAGTATCGTAGTTGGTAGTATCGCCACCTGTGGTGCGCATAGTTAATTCCCTTGCATTTGACGTTTACACACTACCGCCATCTGTTCAGCGTACTACCCACCACAGTGTATTCAACAGATGGCGGTAATGTTTTTGCGACGATGTTTTACAGCGAGGCATATTCAATGTGTTATGTCTGTTTGTCTGATCACTTACTTTTCGTTAATTGTACTCAAACAGTAGTCTTGAGAGAGTTCTTTATTTGCGAACTTTTTATCTCGATATTGAGTTGATTTGCTTTCCATGCTACGAAAGTATCCAAAATCAAGTGTTACGTTTGCACTTCATTTTGGATGAAAAATCGTAATGTGCGCCATGTTAATTTCAGCTTTGTCGTTTACCAAAAGCTGCAGTTATTTAAGTGAAAACATGTTAAATTAGTGAATTTAGTGTCTCAAACTGTACGGAATTAAGTAATAGGTACACTAATGAAGGTCATAAACTAAACTATAGTTCTATTCTAGATCTCCATACAGACCAAAAATGTCTGGAACCTGGGGAGTGTCATTCGTCATCCCTGCATTATTAGGTCGGACTAGAGTCGGTGTATAATGAGTCACGCCAAGAGAAAAACAGTTGAACTCGCATCACGGTTTCCGAAGGATTCCCTTTCTTTTCACTTGGCAACAGAGGACTTCTACATCAACTTTAAATGACTTCTAGCGAGAACCAAAAATAACGGCTGTAGTGAATCATAATATCAGTGATTTTGTCAAATTATCTTATCAAAAAATAGTAGAAATTCTCATTACTGATCAAAACCAAACGTATCCCATGACCATTTAATGCTCGCTGCGTGTTTATGATGATTTCTTCAATTTTATTTTATATTTCATTGCAATACCTTTCGTGGACCTTTCATAGCATCGTAATGTTTATTTACTTTGCACGATAGGTAGCCGATTTGACAGTTCAATAGGTAGACTTGGCTTCACTCTTGGCGTGACTCATTATACACCGACTCTAGGTCGGACAAGACCTCAGACAATACAGTCTTTTACGAGGGGCAATTCACTGCTCTCGAGAATGAATCGAAAATACGTTAATGAAAAAAATACACAAAAATTCATCATTACTCCTCATTATTCAAAAAAAATGCAACAAAATACAAAATTCGGAAAAAAATACTAAAATATTCGACGAATAATAAAAATACACGATAATTCGTCATTTGCACGAAAAAATCGAAAATATGTACAATCAAAATGCTGAATTCGAACAAAATGCGTAAATTTATTATACATATTGTGTTTTAATCCGAGCTTGAATCACAAAACAATGCATTAATGAGTAGAATTTCGCCCATTTTTAAGAAAAGTGCCTTAAATCATTTATTAAATAAAAAAAACATTTTGAGTAGTTGTGAGCCACAAATAAGTAACGATAATTCATTAATGCGTAATGTAACAGATGTAGCGTAATGTAACAGATGCTTATTAATGCGTAATGAGCGAGGTAAGGGGCTGTTCATAATATACGTAGACAATTAAGGGGGGGATGGCAATTATTCGCGGCCCATACAAATTTTAAAAATTTTGTCTGGACATTTGTCTACGCAGGTTTATAAGGGGGGGGGGGGGGGGGGGTGAGGAAACCCAAAAAAACTGTCTACGTAGTTAATTAGTTAAGCCTCTTTTCTTTAAAATGGGTGAAATTCTACTCATCAGTGGGTATTTTAAAGTTCACGTGTGTTGTGCATTTGTCAAACAAAACGTCAACATTGTGAGTTTGATCCGTTTGATCCTCGGTTCGAGTGGTAAACATAAACACTGAAATGACAGAATACACTTATATCTGATTTTCAATACATTAATGCATAAAAATACACTTTTATTTTTCTAATACACAAAAAAATACATATGTTCAAAAAATACAAAAAATACATTATTACACAAAATACACGTTTATTCGATAAAAAAATACTTCAATACGTTCATCAATACGTTGGCCTGAATCGAAAATACACAAGTGAATCGCCCCTCGGTCTTTTACGAGCGCAATGGCCTCCATCTGCTGATGATCTGTCTTTAGTGAAGTGCACCATTAACCCAGTATCTGAGAGCAGTGGAAAAGTGAGGGTAAAGCTTTTAGTTTTTTGACTCTGCTTTGCAAGTTGATTGGTTTTTGTATTTTTTTCTCATACCTACCTAATTTCATTATGATACATCTAAGTAAACCACCTGACGTCTTGACAGCCGAGAGTGGAACCAAGGAGTCCCGCATAAACGCGAACCATCACATGACCTTACCGATAACGGTTATAAATTGTTTATAATCCTTGCTAAACTTCAACTGAAATGGTTATGGAACTTTACATGAACGTTTGTGTGATAAAGTTTTAACCTTATGTATTATGGTTTTTTGGAAGCGGACCTTACAAATAATGGGTTGTTAAGAACCATTACCATTGCAAATTCTTGTTTTCTCCATACATTTTCGGAAAGAGAACTATATTAGAACGTTTTTACTTATGGTTTGAGAACATTAATGGTTATGGTTATGGTAGTCAGTAAGGTCCATTAATGGTTTTGTATTATCGCTCAACTTTACGTGAAATATATCGTGAATTGGTAATCAGTAATTTACAGGCAACCAATTCGCGATATATTCCACATAAAGTTGATCGATGTTACAAAACCATTCATGGACCTTACTGGTTACCATAACCATTACCATTAATGTTTTCAAACCATAAGTTAAAAGGTTTTAGTATAGTTTTCTTTCCGAAAATGTATGGAGAAAACAAGAATTTTGAATGGTAATGGTTCTTAACAACCCATTATTTGTAAGGTACACTTCCAAAAAATTATAATACTTAAGGTTAAAACTTTATCATTAAACGTTCATGTAAAGTTCCATAACCATTTCAGTTGAAGTTTAGCAGGGATTATAAAATGTTTTAACCATTTTAGGTAAGGTCAATTTATGGTTCGTGCTTATGCGGGGTTCGCTTCGAACTTACCTCCAGCGTAATCCCCCGGTTAATTCAACATGCCGGATCTCCTCTGGCAATGACCCGGAAATCTTTGCATAGCTAGAAGCTGACCAATACCAGCTAAAAAATTGTAACCTCTCCTTGTTTATAAAAATGTTTACCTGTGTACCACTTTAGAATAAATAAAACTACTGTTCTGTTTATCTAATGCTCAATTATCATACATTATTTGGAAGAAGATCAATTAAAACATTTTTTACAAATAAATTTTAAAAATAAGGACCTGGTTTTAAGTATTTTTTACCCAATATTCACTCTTAACGAAACACTTACATTTGATTCAAAATACTAAAAATTGGATACTTCGCAAATAACTCAATTTTGTCTGGTTGCTGTTAGGTGTCAAGATGAGTACAAAAGACTTAATTTTGAGTTGTTTCGTTTCTCCGTGTAAGAAACGACGATCCAATTCATTGTTTACGTTTTGAGTTAGACCCTTCTGACGTGTTTCCCCTGATTTGTCATAATATTTTAATTACACGGAAAGAAAAAAATCCTCACGGAGATGAAAAACTACCCAAAAATAAGTACTTTTCCCTCAATTGGGTTCTTTTATTTTGAAAAAAATATCGGTTTTTATATATCATTTGAAAGAGCTTCGTTTTCTGAGCACAGCGATATTTTATTCGAACCCACGCACTTCCATCTCGATATTTAAATCAAGATTTAAAGCAAAATAATAACTTCACTGTTTGACACTAAACTGACAAACTGACAGCTCGCTCCCATACAAAGTGACACCGAGGGGCGCTAATAAGGTGAATTTTGCAAATGTAATCGTACTTATTTAAAATAGTTCCAGTGTACCAAAATTGATGAAATTTTGGGTTTGGGTTCCATTTTTAATGCAGATTACGAATATGCATTTACCTCAATACCCTTAAAGAACTCAATTCTGGGGTCTAGCCCAATATCTATCATTGTATGTGATACAAAAACATCCATCCAAATTTACTTTCATAGGTAAAAAATTGTCCAATGTACAGTTTGAAATGATGGGTTCATGTTTGTTCCTTCGGTCATTCGGACTGCCTAACATGATTGGTGCTCATTTTCTAAAGGCGGGGCCAATCTAAAGTTAGGTACTCTACTATGACATCTGTGAAAAGGAATCTAGTATCATGTAGAACAAATCGTCCAATGTAAAACGCTGTCCAGACTGGAGAGTTATAACATGTTAAAACGGTTGTCAAATAATTGCAACACAGAAACGACCATCAAGATAGCGCTATAACATGTTATAACTCTGTAGTCTGAACGTACTATAACACTAATTAATTATGTCATTGAGAAAAATCGTCCAATGTAACATGTCTGATGGACAACTTGACTAGTCAAAACTAGAAATACTAGAAGGAGAGATGAGCGGAGAGAATGTTTTGAGCCAAATGAACTGTCAAAATCTGAGCCAAACGACCATTTCCATTAGAATTTTTCCGAGCATTTCTTATTCTTACTACACACCAAATTTCTTAAATCTTGATCGGTACCTATTTGCTGGATTCGTTCTGTAAAATATAAATTTTACCGAAATCTTTGTAAAAAGTATTGATTTACCAATTTTCCGCAATCAAAACTGCTGAATTTCCGTAATTTATATAAATCTACCGAAAACTGTAAATCAAAATTACTGATCTAAATTGTAAATTGCCACAATTCCGCAATACTGTAAACATTGTGACGAATGTGCTGTATAATAATCTATATATAATCTTCTACAAAAACAAACAGCAGTAATGTACCAGACTTTTGTAAAAAATACAGAACAGATTTGCAAACTTCACACTGTAAAGCTTTGCTGTCATTTTGAAGTTGAGTGTTCTTTAGCTATCCTTAGTGAATAGTAAGTACGTTACTTTTTTCCTATAATCCGTCCAATTTACATCGAAAGTATAAATTATATAATGCATTTTCATTTCTGGGTCAATTGCTTTCAGACGACATGGACATTAAATGGCCAAATCTCACACACAAACCTCGTCCCCAACAGCAAAAAGCGAATTTGTGCACGGTTCGCTACTGGGTCGCTAACCACGGTCAGCTTATTACTTTATATACGGACGCACGATGAAAATGTATGATTATAGATAATAAATAAATGATTAGTCAAATTAATCAATAAAAATCATGTTATTAATGATTAATTCAGGCAAATTAAGTACAGCCATTCGGTAAAAATTATACCGAACGCTATATTGCAAACTTCACCGATCATTCAGCAAAATTTACAGTCCTGGTCCGTACATTTTGACAGCTCACAAAGGGAACAAAATTTACCGAACGGATTGTAAATTTAAAAAAATACCGAATAGATTACCGAATGTTCAGCTGTTCCATATTCGGTAAAAAATTACGGTATACTGTAAAAAAATCTTATGGCGGTAAGCTCCAATCGGTATTATCCTCGGATTAAATCCCGATCAAGATTGTCCGGCTGCTTGATGTCGACATCAGAGTTATTCAACACGATGCTATGCAAACACTTCGCAGATCATCCAAACAGGGACGGTATTAAAAGTTAATCCGAGTTGGAGCTTACCGCCATTAGTGTGTAGATTAAATTTGAGAGTATTGCAATCGAACAGAAATTCAATCACCTTTATGTTTCGTGTGCTTCTCAAATTCAACTTGTTTTAGGAATCAAAAGCAATATTCTAACTCTATTGATTAATTGATCTTAGTTGGTTAATTAATGGCACCAAAAAATGTGCAAAATATTGCGATGCAATCAATTTTTAATTTGCACGTAAATCGAATCAAAAGTAAAAGTCATGTGAAATGCTAATTTTTAGCAAGAGTTGCAAGATAATTTAGATACAAATCCCTGCTGCCGAATTGCATTTTGTTTTCTCCGCCCATCTCTCCCTCTGAGTATTGCTAGTTGTTGCCTGGGTACTGCGAACACAGCCGTTATTGTTTTGCAAGTCAGCAGGAAACAACTTGAAAATTTTCCGATATCACAAATTGTTTTGCTAATGCACTGCTCACAATTTGCATATACATGCTGTCGAAAGTTCACCCTTTGCTCCATAAATAACGTGTACATGGTGTTGGGAGTGCACCTACCCACATGACTCTTATAAAGTTTGTTTGCATTCTTCCTTCAGCAGTTCGTGCAGGTTCGTTCGTTCGTTACATTATTTACATCCGAGTATTTGAGCAAGTTTTTTGTTGAAGAATACTAGTAAAAAAATGCCGAAATGACAATATTTTCAACATTGACCACAATACTTTCTCTGCCGACGGGGATTGTATGAGAAAAGTATCACTTTTAGCAGCTCTAGATCGTTGGATTTTTTTTTGACAGCACCAGTTGGATTCTTTTTGACAACCATTTCGTGTTTCTCCACACCACTCAGGTTGTTGCTATATTGTAGCTTGAAATTCAAATCAAAATTGTGATTTTACCGTTTCTACTGAATTTTCAACGTTATTATTCACTGACAACATTAAAAATAGTATTTCAAAATGTATTGTTTCTAAACAGTTAAAAAAATAATCTGTCGAACTTCAACTTCGATTTTCTCAAAATGGTGGATACATTGGTATATTTGAAAAGTGACGCGAGAATTACGTCTGATGCATTAAGTTGTCAAAATCTGAGTAAACGGGAAATGTCAAACTGAGTAAAGGCCGGCGCACAATGCATACGTTTTCGGGTTTTTTTTGACAGATAATGCATGGGCTATCAGGGATAGCAGGGTTCATCGATAACTTTCTATCTGTCAAATTTAACCAAAAGTTAAAAAAATTCGCCAAAGCCTAAGAAACGGCGAAATTATTGTATAAAACCGGCCAAAATGTATTAAGATAAGTGAAGGCCGGCGCACAATAGATACGTTTTCAGGGTTTTTGACAGTTAGCCCATACATTATCTGTCAAAAAAAACCCGAAAACGTATGCATTGTGCGCCGGCCTTAAGAATTGCATTCGGAAACGGTTTTGAGTCGTCTTCAGCTCCAGTTAAATTAATCTCTGTGCGAAAACATCGTTTACTCAAAAGTGAGTAAAAGTGCGCCTACTAACTTTTGAGTAGCCATACTTCCCGCTGAAATGCGTATGTTCGACTAAATTTTAGTTGTTGCGAGTTACCGTGTAGAGCACGTTGGGTGATGGTGACAGAACAGTGACGTTTCTCCTCGTTCTCCATCGTTTTCCATCGACTTCGATCGTGAAATAATCCTCGAAATTTTGTCTGAAAATTGAATAATACAAGCAGTTTTTACAAAAAATGGTGCAAAAAAATAACAGCTTGTTGGCTTTCTTCAAGAACGTCTATTACGACGACTATAAATGGTAAGGATTTTACTTATATACGGTTTCGCTTACACAGCTGTCAGAATGCAATGTAGTACGTAATAATTTTCGATGAATATTAAATATATACTTGTCATTCACTTCCAGGGCTCTTGTGAAGAGTGCTTCTCTGTTCTTACTTGGAGTGCGCATTGCGAAAGAGTGTCAAGGGCTAGAACTGATGCCCGCAATTCCACATTAATCTGTTCAGAAAGAATAGTACCTAACAGCTACCTTTATTACGTTAATAAGTACTCTTTAGACGTTAACCGGTGTAAAATGAAATAAAATTGTGCATGCACAGTGACTGAAAGCAAAACAAAATGGAATCTCTCCTAAGAATATCACTCTTATTTTTACTTGTTTGCGGTACTCGAAGCTATGACGAAGCTCCCAACATTGTTCTGGTTCTTACTGATGACCAGGATGTCGTACTGAAAGGACTGGTTTGTATTCATTCTATTGATATCCGTTTCACCACTGACTGGAATGACGAACTTTACAGAATCCAATGATTAAGACCCAACAACTTGTGGCAAACCGTGGCACAACCTTTGTAAATGCAGTAAGTATCTATGCGACAACAATTAAACAGCTGCACTTACGTTACCATTTCATTATTCTTTGCTTCAGTTTACCTTATCTCCCATTTGTTGTCCTTCGAGAAGTTCCCTACTAGCAGGACAATACGCACACAATGTTAAGACTTTTAATAATTCCCAAAGCGGTGGATGCTATGGAACTCATTGGCGTGAAAAAGTTGAACCAGAAGCTCTCCCGGTATTGCTACGAAATGCCGGATATCAAACCTTCTACGCTGGAAAATATCTCAATGAATACTATTCCAAAGATGTTCCACCAGGTTGGAGTAGATGGCATGGGTTGCATGGAAATTCCAAGTATTACAACTACACTCTGAATGAAAATGGTCAGGTCATATCGTTTACTGATGACTATTTAACCGATGTTCTGGTGAGTACTTAAATAACAAACATGATTAATTTTGGTAATTGTAGCGGTCATTTACCTATACCAGAAAAATCGGACTCTAGATTTCATATCAAGCATCGAATTAGGAAACCCATTTTTTGCAATGGTTGCTCCGCCTGCACCACATGCCCCATATACTGCAGCCGAGAGGCACGAACACTTGTTTCCTAACGTGAACGCACTGAAGACTAAAAATTACAACCTGCCTTGTGGACCACTAGGTAAATCATATGCCCTATTTGTGTACATATGCAAACTTACTACTCTCTCTTTTAGAAAAACACTGGTTGGTTACAATGCCTCCGTCGCCACTGCCAGAAGATATCCTGGCTAGCATAGACATAATCTATCGTAAACGCTGGCAATCACTTACGGCGGTAGACGAAATGGTAGCGGCCATCGTACAGCTTCTTGAAAAGCGAGGAATCCTGGAAAATACATATTTTATTTACACATCAGATAACGGATACCACATGGGACAATTTGGACTACCTTACGATAAACGTCAACCATATGAAACCGACATAAGAGTTCCGTTTCTCATGGCAGGACCTAAGATACCACCGAAAACGCTTGTTTCGTCTCCCGTTGCGCTCATAGATATTGCACCAACTGTTTTGGAACTGGCCGGGCTAAAAGTTCCACCTAACATGGATGGCACTTCCGTTATGGAGAAGCTCACCCATACGGATATAGAAGAAAGACAGATATTGATCGAATACTGGGGAGAGGGTAATTTGGAGACTCACAATCCCGATTGTCCATGGCAGAAAAAGGACAAATTAGCAGTAAGTTTGCGGAAAATGCTGTCCCTAATCATCTCGTTATAATACATTTGAAATTACTTTTGATAGCTTTGCACTATTGATGCAGCATGCCACTGCCAGGATTCATGGAACAATACTTACAATTGTGTAAGGCACTTTGCCAAAGATTTGGATTTGATTTACTGCCAATTCAAAGATAATGAGGTATTTTAATACCCAATACAGCAATTTTATTGTTTTGTTAATCAAAAATTGATTTTTGCAGCATTTTGCAGAGGCGTATGATTTGTCCAACGACATGTACCAAATGGAAAATATCGCTTATGAAATGCTGCCATCAATACGCGCGAAATATGATCTCGCAATCACAAACCTAACGGAATGCACTGGCGAGACTTGCCGGCGTATTTATTAAGGGTCATAAATAATGTACACACCAAAAACCTGAAACCAACCAGCTCCCATATGTTTATTCCGAGCTCACAAAACTTTCATGTCAACAATAAAATATAGGCAAGAATTTTTCGATACAAAAAAATGCTAAATATAATTAAGTTATTGTGAAATGGCGTCGACAAATAAAAAAAAAAAAGCGAATATGCTTTACACAAAATGGGGAATAGTCGCGATATTCTTTACACACTTCACATGAAAAGACAGTATAAAAGTATAATATTTATTTTATACCGTGGACCTCCATTCATCTAAACGATACTTCGTGCATATTCGGGGTTCATTTTAATTTGATTTTCTAGTAACCCTACGACCAACAGAAGAACGGCATGGCAGTCTTATTTGCTGTTTGTTTTGATTCTGCGTTCCGTTTCGTATCGCTCCATTTTGCTAGATGACGTTGGAGCAATTTTTAGATTGCACGGCGCGCAGATTAACGAGGTTCAAACTAAAAAGTGTTCATATGAAGAACGGTCAGATTACCGGGGCTCCACAGTCAGGATCATTAAACGATTGAAAATAAAGTTCAACAGATCCGGGAAGGTATTTACACTATAGGGAAAGTTGGCTCAGATATATCAACAGCTACGTTCAAAGCTCGCTAGACCAATACCGTTAACATCGATTTTAATCTTGTTGTATATGATTGAACTCGTATGACAATCCCAAAACAAATTCACTCTGGTTCCAATTTTATCGAGAAATTTTTGTTTACTCCGTTTCTATTCATTTTAGGTGTTTAGTGTTTTCGTACAAGTTGTTTATAATTAATTGGGCTTTACTTTTGCAAAAAAATACGATTAGGGTAGTCCTCATTTTAACTTAAATTAGGAATCTATTTTTTTTTTGTTTCGGGGAAACTAACGGTTTTAAGATATAGATCACTACTTGACTAGCCTATTGGTCCCAAGTTCATCTATTAGCAGACCCCATTCTAGTCAAAATTCTAATATGTACTACGCTATCCCGACCAACCATTTTGTTAATTTTGTTTAATTTTCTATACATCGATCTTCAAAGCCATTCATAAGAAAAATCGATAGCGATCGTCACCATTTCATGAATAATTCAGTGCCAACATTTCAAAGGGGCCGAATTGCTTTTGTAAACAATGACATTAGCCATCAATTTCTCGCGAATGAAATCTTACCTCTTCAAAATAACAATGCTAGCTGGTAGAGGAAACATTCCTCTACCTACTGGTGTCATTATTTTTCATGAGTGAGCTTTTATTCGCGAGAAATCGATGGCTAAAGCCATTGTTTACAAATGCAATTACGCCCCTTTGAAATGTTGGCACTGAATTGTAAAGATGCTAAAAGTCTAATCGTGAATCGTTTATAAAGATCTGTCTCAAAATATTGCTACCAATCGTTACCAATGTTAAAATATCGATTGTGTTGCCAGATCAAAATATCAATTTCTGTTGTAAAATTAAAATATCGATACACAACTGCTGATTTTATTTGTGATTTTTTATCTGCATAATTTCTAGTTTCGATCCCAGGCCATCTGGGGTGTACTGATTTCGTTGTTGGTTGCTAATCCTCGGGTCCACGGCTGCTGTTGATGAGCTTATCAACGACAGGCAAACACACTCTAGTATGTGGTGTATTGAAATTTCTGTAAATCTTTTCATACATGAATTCAATATTGTTTTGTTATAACCATCAACCAGTCAGCCATGTAGGTGTAATAGAGTTCAAAAAGGTATTAATTTTCCTCATTGGGTTCCAAATGCCGAGAATCCCACCACGCATGCTATCACGGGTTATTAAATACAAAACGTGAAGAACTACAATGGTAAAATAAAGAAGCGAAAAATACATTCTCTCGAATAAACCGTATCTATGCATTGTAAGTATATTTCCATTTTATACTATGGAACGCATAAACCATTTTTATACTAAGTTTGCATTCTCCCCCTTTATACCGACCTTTGCGTCGGTACGGAGAGTTGCGATTTAGCGTAACTTTTATACTATTTAGATTTCAATATTTTTTGAGTGTATACTTTTATAGCATTTTTCCGCCGCATAGAGTGTACACTGAGCTGAATGTAGTGCCGCGCCGCAACCGCTGTCAGTCGATGCTGGAGAAGAAAAGAAAAAAAAAGACAACTAGCTAGCCCCGTGCGGTAGAAGCATCAAAAAGTGAACAGTTCCGATATTCATAGATTCCTGATAAAATCCTAACTTTGAGTTTGTAAATCAGTAATCACAAGATACAGTGCTTAGTCCGGCAGCCGGTGCACTTGGAATTAATCTCAGAAGGTAGGGTTATTATGATATTTTTCGTTTCAGAAATTACGCTGTGGCGCTTGGTTTGGTGGAATTATTGTCAAATTCGCATTTTTCAAAGCTCGTCTTTTTGTTGTTCTGCTTCCTTCTAACCTCTTGGCGTTTTCAATGGAGGGAAATAAGCAAAGAGTACGCTTTTTATGCGATAACTGCTTTTTCAGGATTTTCTAATCAAAAAGGTCTAGAATTTGTACGATGCGGCGGATTATTGGCATACCTATTGGCTAGCTTTAAAAACTAAGCGCGGAATGCATTTTTCGATTGCGACGCTATAATGCGTCCAGAAGATGTTTACGTGTTGGCGAATCGAGATTGCCTACATATGTAATATGTACATTGTTTCAATCCATTTAATTTAACGTTTTGCGTTATGAGCTATCTATTCAAAAAGTAAAGTAGTGAAACTGTTCCATGTTTGATTCTGGATCTGGAGGATGTATTCTTCCCGTCGATCTCATGCCCTAAATCAGTGCTGCCAATTCTATACTATGAAGACACTGTTCGTTTTTCTTTGTTATTCATGAATTCGACAGTGAGCATACATAAGGGCGTATACGTGATGATCGATTCTCTTCATCAACTTTCTCTTTGCATTACTACAGCTAAGCGAAACAATTTTCTAGAATTTGTTCAATGCAGAGTTGTAACAGGTTGTATTGGCTATCAAAAGCAACAGCAAACGCACCGAGAAACGTTAATTCTAGCGAGTTATTAACAAAAGAGAAAATCGACGAAGGGAATCGATCATCACGTTTACGTCCTTATGCATGCTCACTGTCGAATTATCCTCGTAAAAAGGGTTCGATAAGGAAGAGCTGATGATAATTCTTTTTCTTTTACTATATTATACATCCCACCGGGACTCTCTACTGAAGCCGGACAATGGATTTCGCCTAAGTAACATTGATCGATTTTCTTCATCAACTTTCCAGGGCTGTTACAACAGGCGCGGATTTCGCGATTTTCGCTGATTTGAACTTTCAGTCGCGAAAATCGCGGAAACATTAAATGATGTTGCGAAAATCGCGAAGGGACTGATGTGCTGTCACAAAAATTGTGGAATTCATTGTAACCTTTCCGTCCCGGATTATTTTGCTGTCATCAATTTTGTTGTTCATTTGGCTCTCAATTTTTTACCGGTTTAAACCAAACACCCTGTAAATAATCGAAAAATGATCTCAATTCCATAAGTCACACCGGATTTACACGGCAATTCCCTGAGGTCTGTCCAATGTGAGACATTTTCCTTTTTTCCAATATGAACTTAGCATTTTTGGTTGTCAAATCACAAACGAATCGTATATATGCGAGTAATTGCCATGTATACCGGATATTCTAGGTTCTCGAAATCGTCCTTGAGTTCAGTTGATTTGTTCTATCAAGACTCCAATAATGTCTGTAGTATCGAAATATGTCCAAACAGATTCAAAGTGTCTATGTGGATTGTACCCGACCTATTGCTACGTATACAAGATGTTATAGGTTCTGAAATCATTCTGGAGATCAGATTATTTTTCTACTAGATCACCCAAGACTAATTCAATATCTGTAGTATCGAAAATTTCGTATTTAATATGCCAAAACAAATTTGCAGTGTCTATGTGGATCATGCCAACCTATTTCCGCGTATGCCAATTGTTCTAGGATTTCCAAATCGATATTTCGATACTACAGATATTATCCTAGTCTTTGTTGATCTAGTAAAACAAATCATATGAACTGCAGGACGATTTGGAGAACCTAGATCATCTGGTATGCGTGGACATAATTATTTATTTGTCGTCAATCAGTGTAGACCGTTTTTCAATAGTGCTGTTTCCTTACATGCTATTTTAAAACATACGTTTTATTTGAAATTGTCAGTAAATGTAGACTGCATATACAAATATCTAAAAAATTAAAATTGTTTTAAACTTAACGAGATGAAATCCTAGCAGTTAGTGTTCTCCTTACTGTATCTTTAGACATCGTTAGATCTATATGCTCACAATAATTATTATACACTCTCATCATTCTTTTAATTGATCAATTTTTACCATAATTCGTTCTGTGAGGTGACAGTTGAAATACATTTCGAGTTCTTAACATGCGTGATGGTACGTAAAAATTTAATCTTGCTAATATTTTTTTCTGAATTTACGCTTTGTGAGATAATATCATTAACATGGAAATTGTAGAAAACATTAATTTCATACTTTGACTATATGTTTTTAGTATTACTTCTACGTGAAGTCAACGATTTACATAGTTGAAGATGCTAATTTCAAATAACAGACTGTAGTGGTAATTTTTATACGATAGATGGGGTAGATGAAAGCATAGAGTTGATAGTTCCGTTAGAGTACGGCAGTGTGAAGATTGTATATAGATATAAAAAAGTAGAAGGGTCTGTGCCTAGAGGCACGAACGGAAGCTTGACGTAGGACCGCTAGTGGACGGAACAAATGTGAACATTTAGTTCTTTTAATTGATCAATCATCAATTATCTTAACTCTTTCCGTTTTTTATTTGTAAGCGTATCAAATTTGTAGTATTTATTTCAAAGAGAAAGTTGATGAAGAGAATCCAAGGAACTGTCAACTTGAGTATTTTCGATTCATCTACCCGACTTTAAAAGGTGTATTTTGATTTTTTTGTTATTTATGAATTTTTAAGTTTTGTGCATTTTGGTATTAAAGTGTATTCAATTCAGCCCTCACAGGATTTTCTTCCCGATTATATGAATGGGGCGGGGCGGAATGTATCGTTTGTGCAGAATATGTAAAAAAAGAGGGACTTCGAGAGATTGAACTCGTGAGAGCTAATTTTCTCACAAATTTGATTTTATTGGCTTTCTGGGGACTGAATATACACCCAAAGCGAATTATTTTCACTTCTCTCAAATTCTATATGGATTTTTAACACTGCCTACCGGCGTGTTCTGGAAAGTGGACGGATGATGAATAATCTCACCAACACATTCGGGCCTACAATTCCAAACCTTCTATAGAGACCAGGTTGAGCCTTGATAGCTAGCTGCTAGGGGGAACTGATGATCTTGACAAATGTCCAAATAATACTCTTTAACAAATTTTTGGTGGCCCTGAAAAGGACCGTTTTATAGTGATGGTTGAGTAATACTGAGCTGGGTGTTCAACACGGATGAGGCTGTCGAGCTGTATGTCGTTTGGAGCGAGGGTGACACGCTTGACATAGATGCGGCGACTCACGAAGAGCTACTGATTTCTATCCATAGCATAGCGGTGCAGCTTCTTCCTCCTTTGATGGTTGCTTATGTGTGCTCTGCAGCTCGCTGCTTGCAGGCAGCCTTTCGTTGTTACTGGAGAACAATTTTCAACGCCACACGCCTAAAGGACTGCTACTGCTGCTACTAATTTCGACGACCGAACACCACCACACAGTGGTGTGGTCGTTGGGAGCGTGTGGTTCTGAATATGGCGATGATTGTGCAAAATATTACGCAATTCCATCCTCCCTATTCGCACGCGCCCGAGGTTTGGAGGCGAATGCCACTTCAACTTGTTTCGTCTACTTACTACTCTCTGACGACTGTGCTGGGGATGCAGCATATGCATGTAGGTAATTGGTGGATTTGTTAGTTAATTCGACGCTTTTGAACAATGCTGGACATTCACCAGTTTTTCAATAGTTTCTTGTTGAAAATCAACATTCGGAAGCATTGTTATCGATGCGTAGCCATATTTCTGATCGATTGGTGATAAAATTATTGAAATTGGACCAGGGGCAGCTGAGTTATTAACGTTCAAAATCTTTCTTAATTTGTTACATGTTCCATTTTCGGTTTTCACAAAGTGTACCCCCATATAGAAATCAAAGACGTAGTCCTACGTCAAAAAAACCGATTTGTACCTTCCTTAAAAGTTGTCCTAGCTCGCTATTCTAATATCTATATACAATCTTCACACTGCCGTACTCTAACGGAACTATCAATTCTATGCTTTCATCTACTCCATCTATCGTATAAAAATTACCACTACAGTCTGTTATTTGAAATTAGCATCTTCAACTATTAATTTCATTTTTAAAATGTAGCAAATCATTATTGTTAAAGATTTCCATGTACAGTTACAGTTTCATATCGTCAGCATATATGAGCACATTTAAGCGATTCAACACAAACTTCACATCATCCACATATAAAATAAATAATAAAGGACCTAAATGAGATCCCTGTGGAACTCCCGAGGTAACATTAACTGGCGAAGGACATTTTTCCTTTAAAGTGGACCATCTGTATTCTTTCTGTCAAGTATGATCCAATCCATTTTAAAAGTGTACTTGTCATACCTAAACGTTTTAATTTAAAAAGAAGTAAGGGATTGTCTACTCTGTCAAAGGCCTTACTTAAGTCAGTGTATAAGGTTTCAACAGTATTACCTCTATCCATTGCTTCAATAGAAAAGTTTACAAATTCCAACAGATTAGTAGACGTTGACCGACCTTTAAAAAACCATGTTGATTATTTGAAATGCGATGCTTAACCTGTTTAAATATTTTCTGGTTAACAATTGCTTCAAACATTTTAGGAATGCATGACATAATTGCAATACCTCTATAGTTTTTAATGTATGACCGTTTGCCAGAGTTAAATATTGGGACTAAAAATGATTTCTTCCAAATTTTTGGAAAATCACCTGTTTTGAGAGATAAATTGTAAAGCCAAAACAATGGTTTAACAAAACTAGTTGCTATTTTTTTTTTCCAATAAAAATGGAGGTATTTCATCAGGACCAGGTCCTTTGCCGGCATCGAGACTTTCAAGAGTCATAAAAATTTCTTTAATAGTGATATTATTAACTGATACGTAATTTTCCTGAAACATTATCCATATAGACACTATGAATCTGTGGACATATTTTGATACTACAGACTTCATCCCAGTCATGGTTGATCTTGTAGAATAAATCATCTGAACTCCAGAACGATTTCTTCTTCTTATTAGCATTTCAAGC